CTCACGGGCATACGCCAGCCTTTTGGTTATCAGGCTATGTGGTGACATCAGACATTTTGCGGACAGGCCGAGGTTGTGCAGTTCCTATAAAGTTTCTCCTGGCGACTTTAAATTACATTCAAATCATTTTAAAACATTGTCCAAAGCCAAAAAATAATAGCACTTTCATAATCAGTGCGACCCAGGGGCATCGGAGAAAAACGATAAAAACAGGATGAACTCACAGAGACGTGTGTACACTGTGTGTACCCCTGGCGGCCAGTTCACTGGCGGTATGTTGGGGCAAATTAGTTTAATAAGGATCATACAACTCAGACAGTTGGCAGAGGGCGGTGTAAAGGAGTAAATACTATGTTTATGGGCGTTCCTTTTTGTACACTGGCAAAACCCGGCGGAAAGCGGAACTGGTGGTACAATGGAAGGGGAGGGGGTATAATGAGGTTTGAATGTATACGTATGGTCTGGCACACACATAGCGAGACCTGAGGAGGCGCAAATCTGCGTAATGCACCAAATTCTTTAAAAATTGTATGTCTTTGCGCCCCCATCAACACAATTTAGATCATATAGGAGGCAGGCTTCCAACCCTGCCTGTCAGGGACAAACTGTCTTTATCCTCAATGCATTTTTAAAGTCCCGATTTCATGGGTGAAATGTAGCTGGCAGACAAGGCTTTCGTCATGTCATAATGGTGAGAAGTCTAAAGATGTTCAACAGCATACACGGTCAATCAATAGGGTAAACAAATACTTACTATGAGGTCAACATCATCTTTGTTGATCTTCACTTTTGAAAGCTCCTTTTCTTTTTCGTGTTTTGCTTTCGCCTCTCTGTTCTGTCTATCACTCACCACACGCATTGCCTGCAGATAGAAAAAGTTTTTTAAAATATGACTCATCATAATCAAAGGATAGAGAAATCTCCTGTGCCCCTCACTATCTAACATGTCTGTACTTTCAGAAAAGTCTAACAAAGAGACACTGCAAAGACCACATCAGTTTTAGACCCTCTTCATTTACACAAGTTAGTTTCTAAATATACACAAAAATATACTTACTTGTATAATTTGCAATTTATTGAAAAAAAATTACTCTTTTTCGAACACTTTTTGTTCTAGCTTGACACTGTCACAATAATAATGAATAAAAGCAAGCAAAGTCACAGCTTCAAAATGGTCACCCCTATAGATCTGTAAACACAGACTTGTCTACCACTCTTGTCCCTCTATGACAAGAAATAGGGGTTTTCCTCAGAATCTTTTCTAAATACAGTGGAGTCCACTTATAACGAGTCTTGAAACAATGAGAAGTCTGTTATAAAGACACTGTTCTAAAACCCCGTTTTTTTCCCTTCTTTATCTTTGTAAATAAAATACTGCTATTGCGCAATCAGACTGTCACGCGAGTCGTTTATTATAACGGAATATTGCTGCTGCTGTGCACAGCGCACAGACCAATTAAACCTATAAAACCTTGCCAGTTGAGAAAGTTGTCGGTGATCCAGCGAAACAAGGAATGGGAGAGCCCACGCGAACCAACAATGAAGGCCGGAGCGAATGAGTGGGGAGGGTGTGACATGCGCAGACACAAGCAGAATGCATCGCGTGATAGGCCAGCCCAGTCTAGATTATCTAGGCCTACCGTGCCTCTCACTTCTCTGGTGCGGGATGGAGAGGTCACAATGTTGTGATAGATGGATGGAGTGAATGTATGACGTGCGCGAGCAGACGCAACGCGCCACAGTGTGTGGTGGGGTGGGGGACAACACTGCGGGCGAGTTAGCCTAAAGCCAAAGCCCCGCCCTTCTTTCTGATCGCCAAGGCCGATTTGTCAACATTGCTAGTACTAGTACTAGAGAAAGAAACCTGATTTTCGATTTTTTGATCAAGTAAGAACCTTGAGATCATTGTTGGAACAAATTCATCATTCAGGT